CCGTGATTCCAGGCGGTGACAGAGCTGGAGCAGAACCTCCCGGGCAGAGAAGATTTCACCTCGTGCCCCAGAGCCAGCCCAGGGCTCGGAGATTTCCCAGGGAAGGTGAGAAACCCGAGTGTGGCCGGGCTCTCATCCTGGGGGAGCTGTGGGAGAGCGGGCCGGGCCGGGGGGGATGTCCGAGCTGGGCCCGTCCCGGGACACGGACCGGGACCGGGGCTGGTACCGGAGCGAGTTCCAGGGCTCCCGGACCACGGGCGGTACCACAGGCGGTACCAATGGCTGTACCAACGGCGGTACCAGGGTCGGTACCAGTGGCTGTATCCGTGCCGGTACCAGTGCCGGTAGCCGTGCCGGTACCAGTGGCTGTACCCGTGCCGGTACCAGTGGCGGTTCCGGTGCCGGTAGCCGTGCCGGTACCAGTGGCTGTACCAGTGCCTGTATCCGTGCCGGTATCAGTGCCGGTTCCGGTGCCGGTACCCGTGGCTGTACCCGTGCCGGTTCCGGTGGCGGTACCAGTGGCGGTTCCGGTGTCCCGGACCGGGCCGGCCCCGCCCTCACCGCTCACGCTGTCCCCTCTGGTCGCTGCCGCCGCCCGGTGGCCAAAGGCCGGTACTGCAGCCCGGGCTCCGCGCATGCGCAGTGGCGCCGCCCTGCCCGTCGGTACCGGCCCCGCTGGGCTGAGGGGTCCCGGGCGGTGCCGCCGCCGCTGCCGGTGAGGAAACGGAGCCGGTTCTGCCCCGCCCGGGCCGGACCGGAGCCCAGAGCGCGGAGCGGCAGCGCCGGTGCCGCCCCCTGGGCCAGCGCCGCCCGCTGCTGCTGCTGCTGCTGCTGCCACCGCGTGGTGAGAGCGCGGTACTGCAGGGACCGCGAGGAGTGTGCGGGATCGGGGCGGGGACCCCCGGGATGGGGACAGATCCCTCACCCTGCACCCCCAGGGATGGGGACAGACCCCTCACCCTGCCCCTCCAGGGATAGGGACAGACCCCTCACCTGCACCCCCCGGGATGGGGACAGACCCCTCACCCTGCCNGGGACAGACCCCTCACCTGCACCCCCCGGGATGGGGACAGACCCCTCACCCTGCCCCTCCAGGGATGGGGACAGACCCCTCACCCTGCCCCCCCCCGGGATGGGGACAGACCCCTCACCCTGCCCCTCCAGGGATGGGGACAGACCCCTCACCTGCACCCCCCGGGATGGGGACAGACCCCTCACCTGCACCCCCGGGATGGGGACAGACCCCTCACCCTGCCCCTCCAGGGATGGGGACAGACCCCTCACCTGCACC